GATTCTTCTTAGCACTTCCATGGTTTTCCTCAGCTGATTCGACGTTGTTAACTTTAACAGTGACTTTAGTCGGATTAACCTTGTCTTCTGATAGGAACTTTAATTTCCATAAATAAGCTACACCTGATACTGATACTGACAAGACAACTATGCTATCTTCCCCATTGTTAATATTTCTGCATTCAGAAACAAACGGAGGATGCTTCATGGACAGAACAGGACCTCGACTAAGTTTTCCAGCACTCATATCACACCACCACACTTGAATATGTTTGGCTCCAGGTTCTGATGTAATTATTGTTTTAGCGTCATCAGATATAGAATCAAGCTTCACAGGACCCTATATTTCAGATGGTAGTATAGTCAGTGATTTGGACCTATTTAGAAAGTAAGAGAATTTGGGTAGCTCACCAATTTATCAGGGTGCACCATAAGCTCAACCCCATCATCTGTGCTTAAAATCTTCAACTTTTTGCCAGCTACAGCTAAGTACTTCTCATCTGGAAAAGGAGCAACTCGTTAAGACAGAAAAGGTGCTTGACATTTTGCACTTACAAAAACGTGGATAAGCAACTAACCAAGTGAAAAGGCTGAAGAAGAGATTGATTTTTTCGAAGCTTTGAACTCATTGATAATGCTTCCTGTTTCGGCGTTCATCTTGAATGCAATTCCGTTACTTCCAACGGTATGCAGTCTACGGCCTTTGTCCGCAAAAGAAAGGCCAATAACTCCACTTCACAAATAAGGATAAAGAAACAATTCATTCACCATAATGAATAAAATGGAGAAGTAGAACCTTAATGTATTGATGAACTCACTTCAGAGATAGCTTCACTATCATAAAAGAATGAGTTAACAATTATTTATTAGATGTGTGTGTGTGCGTGTGAGTGTGTGTGAACAAAGGAAACTTCCAACCTACTAATCGTTCTAACATCTTATTCTCGTATCAGTTTTACCATCTAAACGTATCGCCATAATGAATGCACCGACGTGAAGAATCTAATATGAAAAATATAGGATCAATGAAGAAAATAAAATTTGCACCCGATTCGTCTGATCATTGATCACTCTTTGAATTATCAAGTTATCAAGAGTCATCAGAATTGATTGCGTACCCAAGATGGCAACCGGCAGAGACCCACTTCGTTTCACCGCTCGAAGCATTTACTGTCAACACATCCCCTCCGTTGGTACCGATAGCAATAAGACAAGAACTGTTTTTACGCTGAAATTTGAGAAAGACATTATGGGTTTAAGATTCCCAAAACATATAATACAGTGTCAAATAATTAAGAACCCTAAAATACTTTTCTCACTTTTTTCCCCACAAAACAGCAGGCAATACAAGAATAACCAGCATCAGTTTTCCCATCAGGATCCTTCCACTCCGCTAGCAAACTCCCATCGCTAGTATTCCAAATCTACAGATACATAAAACAGTTGAAATTCGTTGTAATGAACATCCACATACGAATGAGCACAAAAAAAGAAAAAAAAAACAAATAATTGTGCCTATACCGAGCCCTGAAGAGCGAAAATTTATCAAATAGTTAGATATTCAAGTAAAAATCAGCATGAGAAAAGGATTCAAACATTATAAGCAATACTGAGAGAGGAAGCTTGCCTTGACAGTTCCATTGGAGGACAAGATAGCTAGATAGTCGCCGTTGGGAGTGAACGCTGTGATTGGCGGCGATTTATGCTGCTCCATCTTCATTCTCTCAGTCGTAAATGGTAGCCAAATGCGAACTGCGAACTGCAAAACCGGCAGAATGGTAGCGGCACTTCGCGGCGGCAGCTTCTGAGGGTTTTGGCTCTCGTAGATTACTTCCCTGTTTTGTTTTGTCTTTATAATTTTCAAATTTTCGTCTTCTCATTAGCGGTTCGCATACACGGTTGGTCCGAACCGACCATGCTTCAGGGGTGTATTTACAACTCGACAAGTCGGACCAACCTAATCTGAATTAAAGGTGTTGGGTTGGACTAGCTTTTCGAGTTGGATTAGGTCAGAAGAATCTGAACTGGTTCTACTCGGTTTAGGAAACAAAAACGTTGATTGACCCAAATTGAATAAATGCTATGGATCTGCCTTTGGTCATATTTATTTATTTATTATTTTTAATAACCACTAACGCACAGGTTCGACTACAACCAAAAACACGATTTCTCCTTATTTATTATTTTTAATTTTATTTAGCTCTTTCATACATGTTTTTAAAAAATTACCTTAATATTTTATATTATTTTTAAACACATTATTTATAATTTAATTTTATTTAGCTCTTTTATATATATTTTTTTAAAAATTACCTTAATATTTTATATTATTTTTAAACACATTATTTATAATTTAATTTTATTTAGCTCTTTTATATATATTTTTTTTAAAAATTACCTTAATATTTTATATTATTTTTAAACAAATTATTTATAATTTAATTTTATTGAGCTCTTTTATATATATTTTTAAAAAATTACTTTAATATTTTATATTATTTTTAAACACATTATTTATAATTTAAATAAACTCCATAAAAAAAATTACCTTAATATTTTATATTATTTTTAAACACATTATTTATAATTTAAATAAACTCCATGTTTTATATATTTTTTTAAAAAATTACCTTAATATTTTATATTATTTTTAAACACATTATTTATAATTTAATTTTATTTGGCTCTTTTATATATTTTTTAAAAAAATTACCTTAATATTTTATATTATTTTTAAACACATTATTTATAATTTTATTTTATTTAGCTCTTTTATATATTTTTTAAAAAAATTACTTTAATATTTTATATTATTTTTAAACACATTATTTATAATTTAAATAAATTCCATAAAAAATTTACCTTAATATTTTATATTATTTTTAAACACATTATTTATAATGTTTTATATATTTTTTTAAAAAATTACCTCAATATTTTATATTATTTTTAAATACATTATTTATAATTTAAATAAATTACAGGTTTAGATATAGGAATATATGGGAATAGATGGGAATAGATGAGAATAGATAGAAGCTGCAGTGATCTATCAATGTCTACTGCTTAATGCTTAGAGGGTTACACAATTACAGTATTTATAGCCTATACATTTGAGTAAATCATCAAAAATCTAGATCTACTGACAATCTCCTAAAATCTCCTAAAATCTTCTAAAATCTTGGTAGTTTGAATATTTGAATCATATCTCAACTACTTTAAATCGTATCTTCATTTTGAATACTTTGAATCATATCTCAACACTCCCCCTTGATTCAAAGTTGCAGATGTCAAGTACAGAGCTTTTCTTTTGACAAGGCCTTCGTAAGTATGTCTGCTTTAACCCGTACAATGTCTGTCTCAGCCTGTATACCTTTGTTTCTTTGTCTTCCTCTGTGAATCTCTGGCGATGTTACATAAACCTCTTCTTGTAAATCTCCATAAAACTTTTCGTTTGGTAGGTCAACCATATCCCATGTTCCATCTTTCTTAGGAGACTGCATCTCTACTGTCATGGCTATCTTCCCGTCTTCTTTTTCAGTTGCTTCTTCATAATTCATAGGGTCTGAAATAGTAAGAGCAAACTGACATAATGCATATATGTCAGCTAAAGATTTATACTTCCTTGGAGGTGTCTCATCCGAAAGTTCTTCAAGAGAAGAATTGTTGTTCAGTGATGCTGGAGATGATGAATTTGACAAACTTTGTGTTGCAGTGGATGCACTGGGAGATGCACTGGAGTTGACCCTTGTCTCTTCATTTGGGGAAACTTCAACTGTAATCTTTTGCTGCTCCTGTTCTTTACTCCAATCCCAACTCACGTTGTCATTAAATATTACATCCTTTCTAACTAAAATCTTTTCACTAACGGGGTTGTATAGTTTATATGCCTTTGATTGAGTACAATAGCCAATGAAAATGCATTTTTCAGATTTTTCATCAAGCTTTTGACGAGTTTGAGGATGTTTCAAAGCATAAGCAACACAACCAAAGATTCGTAAATGACTTACCGATGGTTTCCTTCCATGCCATGCTTCATAAGGAGTTCGATTCATAACCGCCTTTGTTGGTGAAATGTTTAATAGATAAACAGATGTTGCTACGGCTTCTGCCCAAAATTGGTTTGGAAGTTTCCTTGCTTGTAACATACTTCTTGCCATCTCCACAATAGTTCGATTTTTTCGTTCCACGATTCCATTTTGTTCTGGAGTGTAGGGAACTGTTAATTCCCTTTGGATGCCCTCTTCTTCACAAAACAGATTGAACTCTTTAGATATGAACTCGCCACCTCTGTCTGTGCGAAGAACTTTAATGTGACAGCCACTTTGGTTCTCTACCATAGCTTTAAAAATCTGGAACTTCTGAAACATTTCTGACTTATGTTGTAGGAAGTAAACCCAGCTCATGCGACTATAATCATCAATGAATAGTAAAAAGTATATACTCCCACCCAAGGGCTTCGTTTGCATTGGCCCACATAAGTCAGCATGAATTAGTTCTAGATAATGTGAAGCTCTTTTAGCTTTTCCAATAGGAAAGGACTTCCTAGTCTGCTTGCCATAAATGCATCCTTCACATAAATTAGTTGAGTAAATTCTTGGTAATCCGAAAACCATACCTTTATCCCTGAGTATTTTCAGGCCGTTCATATGAAGATGTCCATATCTGAGATGCCATAATGTTGAATCATCTTTCATGTTAGTAGTAAGAGCGAAATCCTCCATATTAGAAACATCAAGTGGAAACATCTTATTTAAAGTCATGGCAATTTGAACTTTATGGCCTGATTTCTTATGTGTAATGACACACGTGTTATCACCAAATAGAACTGAATGTCTTCTGGTCATCAATTGTCCAACACTCAATAAATTACACCCTAAATCAAGTACAAATTGAACAGTATCTAATTGTTTTATCTTACCGTGACTGGTTTCGACTTTCACTGTACCTTTTCCTTCAACTTGCATCTCTTTTATATTTCCAAGTTGCACCTTAATCTTTTACGTCTCATCAAACTCTTTGAATAAGGATTTGGTGCCTGTCATATGGTTCGAGCATCTGCTATCAACAATCCATAAGTTACTTTTTTTCGGATTAGTATCCATGCACGCCACAAACAGCTTTTCTTCTTCTTCTTCATTCTCTGTTGTAAAATTCATTCGTTGATTTTTATACCAACAATCAAATTTTGTGTGCCCATACCTTCTACAATGGTAACGTTGTATGACATTCCTTTGTTCATTGAATTGTCTCTGTCCATCACTTCTCCACCTGTTATCACGACCACCATGGAAGTTGCGAAATCCTCCTCTTCCACGACTTCTACCTGCTAAATGAATATTTTCTCTTTCGTTATTGGTTGTCTCCTTCACTTGTAGTGCCTTTTCTTCGTTCCTTTCTGATGCTCTATTGATTCTTGCCTCATGAGCCTGAAGCGAGTCCATCAGTTCATCAACGGAGAGTATGGATAGATCCTTAGCTTCTTCTATGGCGGCCACCACATGGTCAAACTTTGGAGTCAAGTTTCTCAACACCTTTGCAACAATTGTTTCGTTTGAAATTTTCTCTCCATAGGTACGCATCTGACTGACTATTGTCATTGATCTTGACAAAAAATTAGCAATTGATTCGCCATTCGTCATGAGTAGAGTTTCAAAATCACGTCTTAGAGATTGCAATTTCACTGTCATGACCTTTGAATCTCCTAGAAACTCCTTTTGTAGAATTGACCATGCCTGCTTTAATGTGGTTGCTGCTGCAATTCGTGAAAAGATAGTATGATGAACTGCTTGCTGAATAATGAATAGAGCCTTGGCATCGTTTTTTTGGTTTCTCTTAGTCTCTCATTTTCTTCTATTGTGGGTTCTAATACATCAGCAAACCCGTGCTCCACCAAGTCCCATAGCTCCTGCGATCTGAGCAAGGTCTTCATCTTGATGCTCCATCACTCATATTTCTCACCATTAAAGATTGGTAACAATGGTGTAGAGGAAGAAAAACCAGCTACTACCATTTTTGTTTTGTGAAAGAAAATAATCACTCGCCCTCGTGTCGCGAACTTGGCTCTGATACCACAATTGTTGGAAAGAGGGATATAGGAATAGATGAGAATAGATAGAAGCTGCAGTGCTTTATTAATGTCTTTTGACTTAATGGTTAGAGGGCTAAGCAATTCCAGTATTCATGACCTATACACTGGACCAGAAATAGTAAATCATCGAAATTTAGATAAATTCAAATCCACTGACAATCTCCTAAAATCTCCTAAAATCTTGGTAGTTCGAATATTTGAATCATATCTCAACTACTTTAAATCATATTTTTATTTTGAATACTTTGAAACATATCTCAACCGTGGGTGCTCTGAGAATGCTGGATATCTTTTTGTCTCCAAAGGAACCAAGCGGTCACCACCGTGAGCGCAGATGCAGCTTTGGGCACGGACTGACATTCTCAATGGGAGAAGCTTGTAAGTCGTCCAAAAGATTACCTTAAGCCTTAAGGCTATGAAAATCTTCGTGTTACCGGTTCAAATCTGCTATTGAAAATATGTCTAATGTGTTGGAGAGGAAATGACTGGTATCGCTCAGTTGATAGAGCAGAGGACTGAAAATCTTCGTGCTCATATATGAACTAGCTGACGGTAGAAATTTAATGACACTTTTTGCACATGATCCCTCCGCTTAGCCCTATCCCCCGTAGGGGTATTTTAGTGATAGGTTCTATAGGAACTGGACGATCCTATTTGGTCAAATACGTAGCGACAAACTCCTATCATCCCAAAAGTCCTTATTTCCACGGTCTGGCCTGGTCAGTACCTAGCCGGGCTTTCAAGAAGCACCGTTGAGAGGAAGATGCTTGGTCCCACACGTCTTCATCTGACGTTGTTTTTTAACCGGAAGACCGAGAGCTAACGATCGAGACTTTGGGCTATCTAGACACATACTTCGTGAAATGGTTCATGCATGCTTGTTGCTTGGGGCACCCCTAATTTTTAACCTAACTTAACAATCTTTTATGCCCGACCATACCAGCCTGGGAAACCTAGCTTCCCTCCTTTTGAAGCGCATTTCTCATGTCAGCTCACGAGTCCCTAGAAAGAGAGCGAAAGGCCCCTTAATTTTCTATTTATAGAGAATTCATGTGCATGAGAGGCCTTGATGATTAATGATTAAATAAACCAAGATTTTAACCTGACTCCAATTTTAGAGAGACGCGAAAGCAAAAGCGAAAGTATATGGGGTCGTTTCTGTAACTGGATAACCAGCCTCTTATTTTGATTTCTCGAACCGAGAGATCCATGAATCGGGATCCTAATCTATATAGATACAAATGGTCCCCTAAATGGGCCATGCCTAACCTTGTTTGGACAATGCTTCGGGATCAAGCTATTCAGAACGGATTTCTGACAGCAGCTTGTCTCTAATTGGATTTCCTTTTCTAACTCGATTTTATTCCAAAGATGTGATCTTAGAGCTAACTTTGCTAACTTCCCCTTCTCAACTCGTTTCTTGTTCGTTTTTATTAATTCAATTGGATCTCCGCGCCGAGTCCAAGTTAGGGGTTAGTGGAAATTCCTCATATAGTTCTCTTATGGGAGCTCCTGTTGAAGAGAGAAATGACATCTTATTTTGTAAAATAGGTCTTTTGTGCATAATTCTTGCGTTTGTCCAAAGTGTTTCGCCAAATAGGGGATCGGGAGCTTATGTGGAACCTTCCTTTCTTCTTCCAACTTTTCGATCTTCCCATTCATTACCCGCAGGTCCTTCTTTGCCTAATTCTTTCTATAGCTAGTTGGTGAGGCAATAGCTTACCAAAGCGATGATTAGTAGTTGGTCCTAGAGGATGATTAGCTACACTGGGATTGAGATACAGCCCAGACTCCTACGGGAGGCAGAAGTGGGGAATTTTTTGCAATGGGCAAAAGCCTAATGGAGCAATGCCGTGTGGAGGTAGAAGGCCTACGGGTCGTGAACTTCTTTTCCTGGAGAAGAAGCAATGATGGTATCTGGGGAATAAGCATCGGCTAACTCTGTGCCAGCAGCTGCGGTAATACAAAGGATGTAAACGTTATCCGGAATGATTGGGCGTAACGCGTCTGTAGGTGGCTTTTTAAGTCCGCTCTCAAACTTTAGTGAGAGGAGCATGGATTAATAGTCATTTTTTCATTATTGTTAAATTGATTGATAATCAATCTGTCAATCAATAAAAAAAGATTTTTTTTTTTTTTTACTCTTTCATATCATGCATTGTCATTTTATGGTGGATTCGCGAATTATTGAGCCGAGCTGGATTTGGACCAGCGTAGACATATTGCCAACAAATTTACAGTCCGTCCCCATTAACCGCTCGGGCATTGACCCGGGAAGAATCAATTCCAAGCTTATTGATAATCCATGATCAACTTCCTTTTGTAGTACCCTAACCCGGGGGAAGTCGATGTGTAATCTTAGCATTCAATGTGTATTCTTGAACAATCTCATTTTTTAATTATTCAACCGTTTCATTTTACCAAGTTCAATGTTGGTCAGATTAGTCAACATTTCTTAGTAAATTACTATGCATGTAACATTTCCGTTATGTGAGCCCGCTTAGCTCAGAGGTTAGAGCATCGCATTTGTAATGCGATTGTCATCGGTTCAATTTCCATAGCCGATAAAATATGATAAAGAAGAAAGGCCGATCTTATTTATTAAGACAATAAACCCGTTGTTACGCTTCCACATCAAAGTGAGCTATAGTGAAAAGATGAAATATAACCAAGGTATTTCTTTTTGATTAGAGGTTGAATCGATCATATAAGAAGAATTAGACCAAAATTAGGATACATTATGGGAAAATCAAACTTCCATCAAAGAGAAGCAAATGAAAGGCTTTCATAAAAATTCCTGTAGAATAGAGAATGAAGTTTTGATTCTGTACATGTCAGATCATGAATTAGTAACTGTACATACTAGATCATGAATTAGTAACTGCATCCAATCTCCAAAAAAAACCCCAATTGTTTCAAAATAACAAAGGCATAAAAGAACAAAAGACCTTGAACACGTAATGGATCTTGAAGGACTATTTCCGCATCTCCCTCACCAAATCCTCCCGCATTAGGATTATTCGTTAATGGTTGATCCAGTTTGATAGATTCGCCATCTGAAACAAGAAGTTTTGGTCTGGGAGGGATAATATCAACCACTAGACGCTCATTCCATGCATCCACTATGGTTATTTTATATCCTCCTATTTCTTTTCGTATTATTTTGCTTACTATACCTACTATTGTAGCATTATAAAAATTATTATTACTCTTATTCCCGTCGGGATAAATTTGACCCCTTCCCTTGTTCCCACCTACGTATATCCTCCTTTTTCTTTTCGTATTATTTTGCTTACTATACCTACTATTGTAGTATTATAAACATTATAATTACTCTTATTCCCGTCCGGATAAATCTGACCCCTTCCCCTATTCCCACCTACGTATATTATGGGATATTTTATGAAGTGAACATGTTTCTTAGTCACAGGGTCCAGGGAAATAATAGAAAAAATGATTTCACTATATTTCTGTGTATCGAATTAAAGATCGAGAGGAATCGTGGATATCGTATACAAACGCCAAATAATTTTCAAGATGCAAGTTATCCTATAGACGCTATATTCATGCCGGTTTGAAATGCGAATCATAGTATTCATTCTTATGTAAATGGGAATGAAAAACAAGAGATACTTCTTCTCGAAATATGGACCTATCCGATGTTCGTACAGCAGTATCTACAACTCCTTTATGCGCTCCGTAGCAAGAAATTATATATTCTGTTAAGGACAGCCCCTCACGTAAATTTCTTTGAATGGGTAAATCAATCATTTGTCCTTGTGGATCGAACATTAATCCTCTCATACCTACTAATCCCAACATTGACGTATTGAACAAACTCATATACGCAAAAAATCTCAAATATCCTTGATCATGAGATATATAATTGTCACTATAAATAAAAATCATAATTGCAACCGTCGTGATTAATATTGACATCATACAAGTAAGTGGATCGATCAAGTAGCCCAACTCTAAAGAAAAAGCATTATTGATAGTGGAAGACCATACATATTGATAGATATAACTACTATTTATTTGATCAATAGATAGATAAACGGAAAAAATCATAAGTGTACTTAACAATAAAATACTAGAAAAGACCACATAGGTCGACCTTTTTTTGAAAAAGAGATTATATGGACTGGATTAAAAGGGTAGTCATCCTGAGGACTGGATTAAAAGGGTAGTCATCCTAAAATTAGGATTCATTTCTTGTCGCTAATATTCAATGATTTTTTTTTATTTCAATATTTTGAAGAAAAATATTAGATTACAAACTTGAAAAAAAAAAAAAAAAGATTGAGTTGTGCCATACATATGAAAGAGTATACAATAATGTTTTTGGTGTATCAAATACCATGGTCTAATAACGTTAAAATAAAAAAAAAAAAGGAGAAAATTCATTTATCTTATAGTTAAATATATATTTATATGGGGAACGACGGAATTGAACTGCGCATGGTGAATTCACAATCCACTGCCTTGATCCACTCAAAAAAGTGTTTGTGATTGTTCTAGTAGCAATGAAACAAAAGATACCGTAGAGCTAGGACAATTATTGTAACGACCTGAAATTTTCTACTTAATTTAAGGTCGCTACTGTATACGTACCATAAACATTGAATGCGGAATACTTCATTTAAATTCCATAAAACATAACCTTTATCTTAAAACACAGCCATAGACTTACGTGTTTCGAAAACATATTTAAAACAACACAACAAAAAACCAAATAAAATGAATAAGAGTTTAAGTTAAAAACATCTTATTCTAGCCTAAGTCTAAGAAAATAAATACACTATCCTATGCATGTGTCATGGCCTCGAGTTGCGATGCCGTCGTCAGCCGTAT